TGTGAGTTCACAGGAAAGAATAGAGCTGAAGAAGTACATAGTCTTTATTAAGTCAGCCCTTGGAGTTCTGTAGCTGAGCATAACATCGTTTTAAACAGATGGCTTATATGTAAAATTTTCTGTTTCTTTAGGCATTTGATTATGGCTACATGAATATATGCTTTGATTCTTCGCATTAGAACTTCTGGAATGCTGGAACATAGATATAAGACTTTTTTTTAAAAGGAAGCTGTTTTAAATTTTATGGGTTTTTAATTTATGGGTGATCCTAATCCATAATTCTTTTCTTTGCTATAGAAGATTTTTTAGATTTCTTAGTGTTACTTCAATTAAGTGACTATCTTTGCTATGGTTGAATTTCATTATGGTTCCTTTGGTATTGGTGATTGTGGTCTTTGCTTTGTGATATTCAGGACTGCATTTTGTTACAATAAATTCATACCTATGAAGCAGTTGGCTTATTGTTTAATGCCCACTGAAAGTTCCTGCTTTCTCTTTCTCCTCCATTATTTGCTGAAAAATCTTATGTTTTTTATGGAATAACTAATATTTAAAGATTACTTTCTGGAATAATTACAGATTTTTTACTTATTTTGGAAAGAGTATATCATCAATATAAAGAAGAATTTTTCAGGAATTATTATAGAAGAAAAAATTGGGGGCTAGAAAACCTTTTAATTATGTAATAATTAAAGGTAAAGTAAGAATAGGAATAAGAATAAGATACACACTTGTTGCAACTTTATAGGAATAGCTCTGACTCCTACTGAAAATTGGAACTCTCAACTTGGATTCTGGCTCTGGTGCTACTAGGAAGCTGCTGAAACAGAAATAGATGGATTTCAATGTTGTTTTTTTTTTTCCAGCTCATTTGTTCTAGAAACATTTCAGTTGACCAATTCAGAGGCTGCAAAAAATCACTAGATATCTACCTGCCTAGGACAGTACTTTGTAAATTCCTGAATCCTTTGTTGACACTAATAAATGGAGAGTTCTACAGTATTGAATCCCAGTTTTGTCCCTTGTGACCTGGGACAAGCAAATTAATCTCTCTGGGTTTTAGTTGATTTATTTCAAGATAAAGTGTTTGATTAGAAAATTTCTAACATTACTTTTGGTTCAAAATTTAAGTTTTTTAACAAATTTACAACTTGGTATTTTCTTATTCTCTTATATTATTGTTGAGTAACATAGTGTTAATAATTTAAATTGGAGTCTACTTGTATCTTGCCACTTTTTCTAAACACTAAGAAAACAATTTTCTTATGCTTTCTTTGAAGTTTGGTAACCACGATTGGAGTGAACATAAAAGGACAAAATAGAAATTTGCATACTAGTATGATATTTCCAGTTTCGTGTCTAATATTCTTCTTGATAAGGTACAAAGTTTTGTTAAACTCAGGGGTTACAGTGACATTATGGGCCAATGTCTTCAGTAATAATTTTCCTTAAATGCCTTAATTTTATTAAATTACCTTAACTGTCACATTGAATTTCATCTGCCACTTTTGTGCCCCATCTCAAGGTTTCTGGAGAATTGTTTCATTGTTTTCCTCCATCAATTTAACCTTTTAGTTAATGAGACATGTTTTGGATCATCTATATCATTCTGTGCTCCTTCCAGATTTTATATTAAAAAACCTAAACAAAGCAGTCCCAGCATCAATGCTTGGGGGTGGTCCAATGTTTTTATTTCTCCATGAAGAATCCTACCTTCTACTATCTCTTGTAAATGGGATTTGTATTGATAATCCATCAGCATAACACATCTTCCCACTCCATGACTATTTAAAATAACACGTCACATATGTAGGGCAACAGTTTCATAACTTTACTATTGAATTTCTTCATCTCTGATTCATTTACGTGTAATTGGTGGTAAGGATCAAGACATACAGCAGCCAGAACCCTCTGGATGTGAATACATTTTTATCTTGTATTACAGTGACCAAGGAGTCAGTACAATAGCCTATGATTCAGATTTGCTAAGAATATGCTTGTGACTGATGACAAAAATTCAACAGGATAACACAGCCTCACAAGACAACGAAAAGAGTATTTATGGATGCAATGTCAGGGAAGAAAAAAAGGTGCCTGAAATTGTCCCATTAGTTGAACTTTAGGATTTAAGCTGTGTAAATTTTTTATACTTTTCTCTCTTATACCTTTATTTAGTGTTGCTATATCCTCTGCGTGTCAACTATTGGCCAGTACTCAGCATGATTATCTGTCTGATGCTAATCTTAACCTCATTTCAGGTAATCTTTTTAAAATATCAGGAATAAACATGTTCCAGTGCCTACTATGTGCCAGGCACTGTGCTAAGGGATGGGGATACAAATAGAGGGAAAAGATAGTTCCTGTCCTCAAGGAGCTCACAATCTAATAGAATGTCAAGTTCTAATTGAATGTCTAATAAATCTTAAAAGAAAAGTAACTAAGATAAAAAGTTCACTTTTTGTGAAGTGGGGGATTCTAGATCAAATCATAAATGCTGATTTCTTCTTATCCATGAAGGATTCAGATAGCAGTAACTGTAAGAACACTACAGTAAATTATTAGGATTACCCAAGTTTTCATTTCCATGAGAGTTCAAAAGCTTTTCAGCTATGATGTAATATTCATAATGGACAGCTAGGTAGCACAGTGGATAGAGTGTTGGGCCTGGAGTCAGAAAGACTCATTCTACTGTGTTAAATCTGGCCTCAGGCACTTACTAGCAATGCCACCCTGGGCAAGTCACTTAACCCTGTTTGCCTCAGTTTCTCATTTATAGAATTAGCTGGAGAAGGAAATGGCAAACCACTCCAGCAGCTTTGCCAAGAATACTCCAAATTGAGTCACAAAGAGTAAGACAAAGCTGAAATGACTGAACAACAATAGAAACATTCATAATAACCATATGACATGGGACATGAGAGATGTTAGTTTTCATTTGAAAATGAGGATACTGAAGGACAATGAAATTGAATGACTTACTGAAAACCAATAACCAAGGTCTACTGGTGAATGAAATTAAGTGCTATATTTCTAGTATTCCATGAGCATTTACTAAATGCTTGCAATATAATAGGCATAGCGTTAGGTGCTAGGGAATACAAAGACAGGAATGAAACAGCCTCTGCTCTCAAGAAGTATACATTCTATTGGAGAGAAACAAAGAGAAGCAAATTCAAATTGTATGTAAGGTAATTATAAGATAATTTCCTTGATAGGCCTCATGTAAGAGGTGGCACTTAAACTGGTTCCTGAAGGAAGATAGGGATGGTAAGAGTTGGAAGTACAGAAAGAGCACATTCCAGACATGAGTGAACAGCTTAGGTAAAGTTATGGAGAAGAGTCAATAAGTTATATAGAGAAGAGTCAATAAGTCATGTGAGCTGGATCATAGAGTATTTGAAAGAAAGTAACATGTAATAAGCCTAGAAATGTAGGCTAAAACCACATTTGGAAGTACTTTAACTGCCAAACAGAAGAGTTTGTAGCTTATTCTAGAAGGAATAGGAAGACCCTGGAGGTTCTTGTGCTTCAGAATGACTTTATTGATTTAGTTCTTCAAGGTATTAGTGGAGGCACTATTAGACTTTTTTCATTCAATGTAGGCTTACTATTATACTCAATGTAACATATTTATTTACATTTCTGAACCAAGTCATTTGTATGTTTAGGTGACAGTTTTAGATTTATATCTACTTTTTTGGTTTTGGGAAAACACATTAATGAATCAGTACTGACAATTGATTAACTAGAAAGGGAAAAAAGGTAACATTTCCTAGCAATCTGACTCAGCATTAATATTCTCCTATTACTAAACAGGAAAAAAATCCCATAAAAGCAAATAATATAATATTAATATATATAATAATATAACATAATATAATAATATAATATAATATATACAATATGATAATAATATAGTAATATAAATAATATGGATCAATATAATCAAATACACATTTGATTAATAATTTAAAATAGGCATATTAAGTAGTTAGAAAAGAGAATGTGAGGGCAGGATGTGGCGTAGATAGCATGACTGAATACAAACTAGTTAGATCCTTTAGCATGTTATTTATTTAGTTTTTAAAGAATCCTAACATTTGAGAGAACAGAGCCTACACTAAGCATCAAGAGCATCTATTCTTTGCTCTACATGGGTAAAACAAACTCTTTCAATGAGACTTTCATGAGCACATATCAAGTGGCAAATAAGTCTCTCAAGACAGTACTTTTTGCTGCGCTTTTGTTATATTTTCAAATAGGCTGAATTAAAGCCTCTGAAGGGAAACCCTAGGACATAAGCACTTTATTCCCCTCAAGTGCTTTTTCTTACTGGATGCTCTATCTCTTTCCCCACTTTTTTAAAGCCATGTACCCAGATTAGTAAGATTACATGATACTTCCTAGGGAAATAAAGTAACAGAGCATTTCAAAGAGTAATTTCCTGCTTTATACCATTAACAAGAGATCAATGAAATAATCAAAATCTCCAAAGGAAAAGAGATACTTTGCCATTGTTTCTCAAACATTTGAGGAGAATGATATCCTGTGGAAATGAAACATGCCTGAGATAACATTTAATAATGACCCTTTACTATCAAAATACCCAGGAATCAGCAACAGATGAAAATTCACCAGAAATTCATCCCTAAATGTGACAGGAGAAAAACAGTAGCAGATAGACACATGGTTTAGCTAACCTGAAACTCATCTAGAATTACCATGAAAAAATGGTCATCTTGAGCCTGAGGGGTAAAAATACTGTGAATTTTCTTACTTCTCTCCATTTCCCTTAATCCATTGTGTCAAATGGCCAAGCCTTTCTATTCCTGGATCCCCTAGCAAAGAGATGGAGAAGCTGCTTTTTTGTATATTTATCATTTTGAGTTGAAATTATGGAAAATTTACTTTGTGGAGGCAAGGACTCTACTTTCCATTCAATCCAAACAGGAACCCATTTGGACAAGAGATACCAAGAAAAGATGACAAGATTATCTTACCACCACTTGCTTTAAGCTTGATAGTCATTAGTTCTTCTGAGACCTTGCCTTTTTTTATGGCTTGTGCATTTAGAGGACATCCAGATAAGCTGTGAAAAATAGAAGATTAAGCCAGTGTTTGAAAATGGAGTCATTTTATTTGGTTGTATTATAATTTTCTTATGCATGTCTCAGGATGTAAGACCATGCCATTCTGCCACTGTTTCTGTGCTATTTTTTTTTTTTGCTGTCATAATTCAATTTTACAAAAACTAAGGGGAAAAAATCCTTAAAATTTCAAAACATTGCCGTATTGTTTTTTAAAACATAAGAATGCCATACAAGGAACTGACATTGATACATGCCCATAGTTTGATTGCTTTTGTTAAAAAGTAAAAAGTTGTACATGTACTTTAAGCCACTGTTTGGTAGCTGTCCGTTGTCTTTCTATAATCCAGTTATGGATTATAAATTCATTTATTGTGAATAAATTCTGTGAGCATGATTGTGTCTGACAGCTCCAGATACCAACACTAATTTCACTTTTCTTCATAGTCATTCAAAATACAAACAAAATATATAAAACAAAACAAAATAAAATATTATCGCATTGGGGGTTTGACGTAACATTTAATTTCATAAAAATAGGGACCCACTCTAGAACTTTGTGGTTGTTGCCATCATTCTCTTGGCATGCAGTTTGTTATATATTAGAAAACACCCATCCTTACGAAACTTCCAATTTCATTGTCATTGCTTGCAAAGTTATAATTAACCAGTTTCCAACTTCCAGTTAATTTATCAATTTTGTTTAAAAAGTTTGAATCACACAACTAAACAAAACTTGGTTTTCTATGAGTTTGGTGTCACATAATTATTTGCTTACAAATATCTGTTAATTTCATAATTTATAATTCACAATGCTTTTTATAATTTATAATGTTTTATAATTTAGTTATAGTTATGCAAATGAATAATTAAAAGCTAAATTAGAAACTCAAACCCATTAAGAATAATTTGAAACTCACATTTTGATAAGACTTCAGTTAGAATTTAACCTACTTAAGGCTGAAAACTACCATGAAATGAAAAATGTTGGGAAATTATATTTGAAGAAAACTCTAGGATAGTCCAAATTAATACAGAAGTGACATTTTCTCCAGTTTCAAATACTATAAGGAATTAAACTGATTTTGATATGGTGGGGACACATCAGTAGTAACACAGATAAAGAGGCTATGGTACAAGATGATCTCTGATTATTCAGCAAATTTTAATTGTATAACCTATTTGTCTTTATTTTGGATACTTTAGAATGCCAAAAAAATTGTAAAAAGAAAAGTGGACTTTTGAACCATATTCTCCTACTTCTCAAGGTTTCTCCCATAACTATGTTGAATACCCTTTAGTAGACATTAGATTTTCTATCAACCATTAGCAGAAGTTTATCTTGTCTTATGCAAAGGATGAGTTTCTGAAAAGGTGAAAAGGTGATTACTTTCAAGTGGAATTATATTTAATTGGATTAAGGAAATGGATTATTTAAATCAATTCAATAATATGAACAATTTTTTTGCAGAGGGAATCACCAGCCTCAAATCAATGTGTTTTCTTTAAATGTTTGTATATTTGAGTTTATTTTTGTTGTTGTTATGTGCAGCCTACGTTACTGCTACTCATTGGATAATAGTGAGTTGAAAGAGTCAATGCAGTATTAAAAAAAAAAAACCTTACTACAACTTTAGAATTGATTTCATTGCTGTAATGAAGGAAAATCTCAGCCTTATCTCCACTATTTGGCATTTTGTGTCTTTTCTAAATTAACTTCCAAAATAGTAACTGATTTTCACAGAAAATTTTGCTCTTCTAAAGGAAGGCCTTTACATTTGAAGTAAATATCTGTTCATTAGGAAGTTTCAAGGAAATTTGTTTAATTATGGTATTATATTGAGAGAAGCCTACAACTCACAGCTCTATTAATTCTGAAGTGATGCTATTATTAACATCCTTGTAGGATAAGTTTTAAAAATACTATTTGTCTAGAAAAATAATACATTTCATTAGTTGAATAAATACTCTAGAATTTGATGCTGAAGATTATTTTTAATATTTCAAAGGCTCATATTAAACTAACACAATATTAACATCGAGTATGGTATATAGTAACCATATTTTTTTTAAAGATGGCAGTGAATAGAAATGGTATTCATATTCACATTGTAATGCTTTGGATGTGAATATACAGTTCTACCAGGAAAAGTTTATTTTTAGGACTTAGATTCTCATGTGGATTTTCTAACTATTTTCTCCCCCCTGGAATCAATCAATTTAAACTTCCCTTCTCTATGAATATATGTTTTTGTCTGTATAGTATGTGTGTATATACAACATATATACAAATCCAAACCTTGAGAAGCCAAGCTTTCAAGACTATATCACTGAGCATGCTTGATTGTCAAATGTTGCTTCTGTATATTTCAACATAAAACAATATATAATATTAAGGATTTAATTAGCATTTGAAAATCAACTGCCAAAAGACAGGTTTTTAAAACATAAGTAGTAATATAAGTTTCCATAAGTAGGTTTCAGTGCTTTCAGTTTGAATCAACAAGGGATTCATTTTCTGGCACCAGCATTTTAGCTTTAGAGTTGAACTAAATGTCCAAAAGGCAGAGCTTTGCCAAATTTCTATAATGCTACTAAGTATGACATCTTAGCTGAATTTTTCACTGAAGTTTCCTTTTTGGATTTCAATCAACATCTGTACACAATGACCCATTCTAGTATTACTAGAAGTAGTAATACTGGACAATTGGATTGATAATAACAATAATAAAATATCAATAATAATAACAGCTAACATTTGTGTAGTGCTTTAATGTACACAAAGCATTTTATTTATATTATATGATTTTGATTCTCACAATGATCCTGTAAGATAGGTGATCTTATTCTTATTTTACAGATGAGGAAATGAAGGCATGGAGAGGTTAACTGACTTTACCAGGGCCATACAGTTAATGTCTGAACTCTTCCTGATTTCAAGTCCAGTTCTTACTATTTCCATTATGTCATTTACTCTGTTGTGTTTCTAACCCTTGAGCAGAATCACAGGATCACATGCTCTATCAGAAGTGCATTTTCTTCTCACCAAGGAGTTAGAATAACATATTTTACAGGAAGCCTTCCCCAACTCCCTCTATTGATTATTTCTTCTTTATCCTATATGATGCTTACTTTGTATGTATTTGCTTGTTTGTTGTCTCCTCCATTAGATTGCAAGCTCATTGAGGGCTAGAACTGTCTTTCATCTCTTTTTGCGTGCCCAGTATTTAGCACAGTTCCTGGCATGTATTAAGTGATCAATAAATGTTTATTGATTGATTGATTATTAAAATGTTCAAATAGGCATTCAGGTGAGGACAGAAACAATTCATGAAAATTTAGAAGGAAGTTATTTTGCTTTTACATCATCCTGATAATGATCTGTAGCACTTATACCATTTTCTGTCAGTATACTATTGAGGCTCATCATATTCACAATCGCAAAACAAATACTAGTGTTTGCCTGTGATTTGGTCAGCTCACAGTGTTGATAGAGTGAGAAAAATATGTGAAGTAAAAAGTTGCAGTTACTTGAACATTCTTGAGAAGTTGTCCAAGTAATTCCACTTGCATGATTTTAGAATGGGAAAGATGAAATGGAAATGGTAGATAACAGAAAATATGTGGTAAATAGTAAGGTGAGAAATACCCCCTGCAGAAATATCAACAATGCATTTCATATTTTGAGATCATCTATCTGCCAAGATTTAAATTCCTGACAAGACAAGACAGCCAACATTTATTAAGTACCTACTATGTGCCAGGTACTAGATAGCAAATTAGTACTGTGCCAACACCGTATAGCAAATTAGCCACTGCTTTGTCTCTAACTTTTAATCCCTTTTAAAGATCATACTATGCTTATTCTGCAAACAGTGTACTTTCAGTTCAATAGCAACAAAAACAACAACAAAAAACAAAATGATAGATACCTTCTATGGGTGACAAAAACATTATTTACATGGCCCAGTCCATTGCAGCCTGGCAGGGGACAATGTGGTAGCTCTTGTTTGTTCAATTTCCAGGATAATGAAGACCCATTGAGAGGATTCTCCTTCTGTCTTTTGGCAGACAGGGGACAACCAGAAGCCGTACGATGGGAAGTGTATTTGCCTGATATGTGACCTTGACCATCACATCCCAATACTGGACATCTAGAAAAATGCAACAAAGATAATCCTCACTAAGGGACTAGTAGCACATTTTTTTTTTTTTAGCATGAACATAATTTACTGGGAAAGGCTTAAGAAGAGTAGTAAGACCATATGATCTAATAGATTTACAGAATATTAGAGTAAGAAGAGACCATATGGTACAGTCAGCCTCATTTTACAGAAGAGAAAACTAAGGTCCAAAAAGGTGAAAGATCTTGCCCCCAATCACATCAATAATGAGTGGCAGAACCAGAACTCTCTGCTCTCCTTGCTTTTGAGTAACATCTTAAAATGAAGAATTTTTCCAGCTGAGAGAAAAAGTTTTTTCATTTATATCAATAGGAAAAATTTTTTTAAAAGAGTGATGAGAAGATGAATTTGTGTTCCCAAAGTCAGAGAATATTGAGTCCCAAGCCCATCAATATGTGACGTATGACCTTGCAAAACTCTCTACTTTTCCTTTAGTTTAATTTGGTGTAAAATAATGACTGACCTACATCAGTGGGTTGTGGAGAATAAGTAATGTTACTGTGAAACTACTCAATAAAACTATATGGAACAGCTTCATATTTACTTTCTTTTGTAAAATCAACTTTTTCCATGCATGGACTCACAATTTTGTTATACTCTAGACCAGGGGTGGGAAATCTGTGGCCTAGAGGCCACATGTGACTCTCTAGATCCTCAAATGTGGCCCTTTGACTGAATTAAAACTTCACAGAGCAAATCCCCTTAATAAAAAGATTTGTTCTGTAAAACTTGGACTCAGTCAAAAGGCTGGACCCAAGGACTTAGAAGACCACATATGGCCTTGAGGCTGTAGGTTCCCCACTCTTGCTCTAGACTTTAATGTGTCCTACGTAGATGAGTTGCACAGCAGGTTGTTAGGTGGTGCCATGGAGAGATCATAGGACCTGGAGTTAGGAACACCTGTGTTCAAATCCAGCCTCACCTACTCACCAGCTTTGTGATCCAAGGTAAGTCACTCAATCTCTGCCTGCCTTAACTTTCTTATGTATAAAATGGGGATAATAATAGCACCATCTTCTGGAGTTGGTATGAAGATCACATGATTTTTTATCTATAACTCTATATAGGTATATATGCACATATACATATATAACTTTATAAACCTTAAAGTGCTATGTAAATACTAGCTATTATCATTGTCCTAATATACACTAAAAGCATTAGAGATATTGAAGCCTATTTATTGTTTTATTCAAATAATAACTCATATTTTAAGATTTGCAAAACAGTTTGCAAATAAGAACTCTAGAACACAATTATTTATGCTTTACAGATAATGAAACTGTAGGCCAGAGAGGTGGAGTCATGTGCTTAGGTTTACAAAACTAGGAGTATCATCCCCTGGTCTACTGACTTCATATACCCTTTTCATTATAGTATGCTTCCTCTTCATATGTCTCAACAATTTCAGATAGTGGAGAGAACTTTGTACTCAGTTGATTTGGGGCTTTTGTTCCACTTTTTCACACTACTGAATCCTAGAATTTAGTCCTTTATTTTTCACTCTATTGCCTCAGGGAACATGGCCAATGGCATTTTCTTCCAATGTTCGGAATTATGAAATGCCTGAAGAACTGAGAAAACATTACAAAGCCCTAGGTTAGTCTGTTTCTGCCATAACCTATTTACTCCAAGCTAAGGAAAACAATTGATAAAGGGGATCTTGATGTTAGGAACAATAAGGCAGTTGCAAACTAATGGAATAAATTCAGGATGGGAATGAGAAGAGAGGAAAAAGAAATGTCGGTGACAAGGTACAGAATGGGTAAAAGAAGAGGCAAAGAATATATTTTAAGGGAAAAGGCTTCTGCACAAGCGTCTGTCTTTTCATGGCAGCTTAGTGACCCTTTTTCTATTTAATATGCCTTTGGAAGTCTCTTCTTTTTTGATGACATGGTGTTACTAAAAATGATACGATCAGGGAATTGGACTTCATGCAACATCATGAAGGAAACAGTTTTAGTTCAAGTATATATGTCACTTTTAAAGTCTACTATTTTGAATTTTTTTTTGGTGAGGCAATTGGGGTTAAGTGACTTGCCCAGAGTCACGCAGCTAGTGAGTGTTATGCATCTGAGGCCGGATTTGAACTTAGGTCCTCCTGACTCTAGGGCTGGTGCTGTATCCACTGCGCCACCTAGCTGCCCCTATCTTGGGATCTTTTAAGAAGATGGAATTAGATTTACAATTTCCCTTTTGTCAAAATCTAAATTCCAGGATAAAGAGGAGTGCTATTTGTGGTGAGATGACAATTCTACAATGTTGCTTTATTTTGAAATAAACAAAAATACAATCCCAAACCCATTATTTTCTTTACATTTAAATAACTTTAAATGTTATTGGTATGACATGATTTTTCTCAAAACTCCAAGCCAAAAAAAAAAAAAGAGAATCTAACACTACATTGATTTCGAGTATTCCTATTAGATGTTTCAACAGACTTTGATTAAAGAAAAAAAAATTCCCCCGGGATTTTACATTTTCACTTATATCCCAACTGAAAGTACAGACCCTTTTCTTGTCACTTTCCCATAAAGATTTCCACTTTAAAAGGACAAATTGCAAGGAAGAACATTTATAAAATGTCCCTTTGACCTTAACCACTGTACTTACTTAAGTTCCAGATCTTCTTTATCTTCCTTGGTAGGAGTTACTTTGACACCACCTTTCCTGGCACGGGGACAGCCAGACAAACTGAAAGATATACCCAGGAGAAAAAAATCAAAAGACAATTTTTGTTTTTGCTTGTGGTGGACAATGTCACTTTCTTCTTTCCCAACAGAATCAATCCTACCTTCTATGGGAAGCATAATTTCCAGTCACATGTCCTGAACCATCACAACCAGGGGTTGGGCACCTGGGATATATATAAGGGAAAAATTACTTTGATAAAATGGAACTAGACTAGGTAAGTAGGTCTTCAACTGAAGAAGCAATAAAACTCTTATTTAAATAAAATTAATTCCTGATTAATTTTCATTCTTTATAACATATATTTTAAAATAACAAATTTGCTGTGAGTTGAGACAGGCAAGTTAGTAGCAGTTATTAAGTGCTTTTCATAATAGCTATTTTCATTAGAAACACACAAATCCCAAAGAAATGGTGTAGAAAGTACACCGAAATCAAAGTCCCAAGATTTTGATCAGTCTTGACCTTGCTTTAGCTATTAACTGTGTGACCAATAGCAAGTCCCTTTAACCCCTCCAAACCTCGGTTTCCTGATCTGCAAAATAGATATGAATAATTACACTTGCACTTTCTGCCTCACAGAGGCACTCTGAGTAACAAAGTAAAGTTCTATGGAAATTAAGCTACTATCATTGTAGCTGTGTTTCTGAATAACATCCATATATGCGACTTCTATATTCTTGAAGCAACAAAGCTTTCAAAATTTGTTTTGTGCATTAATTACTTCAAAGGCCCTATAACATCTCATGAAACTCTGCACACCAGTATAATTAAAAATAAACCTGGGTAAGTATACCTTTTGGCTTGAGTTAAGTGGCAGTTCTAGAATACTCAACAAGAAATAACACTTGGAGGGATTCAACCATTTATATGTGTTTCAGAAGGGTCAAAGAAGAAGGAAAAGGCATCTGGTCTGCCATCCTGATCAAAATATACCCAAATCCAGAAATTGGTGAAGGTGTTTACTAGGCTCTCTCTCTCTCCTCTGGTCTTTCTCCCCATTTCCTTTACTTACATCTTCCCTATCTGAACTGTAACCTTAATATCATCCCCTTCCCAATCTCTCCAGTGAACAGGGATGCCTCTGCTATTTTTGCCTCCCCCTATAATGTAGTGTTATTTTCTTTTGTTTCAAATATGATGATGCAGATGGGGGCTATAGCAAAGCTCTAATATAACACAAAGGGCCACGTGTCTACTCTCCTTTCTTTTAATAGCTAAGCTTTTCCATTTTTACAGGAATGCCTGCCAGATGTGATGCCAATGTGAACCTTTTTCCAAAGTGGAATTTGACTCCCTTTCCAGAAGAGAAAGAGGACTATTTCTTTTGAGGATATAATATCAAAGCAATAGTCAGACAATCAAAGCCCAGTCATCCTATGCTAGAAAACTCGCAACTTGTCCTAATCCAACTATTTTTGGTCATTTTTTTCTATTTCACAGAGAAAGCTACTAATTCTAGTCCTCTTTTATTAGTGGTTTTACTAAAATAGTGGTTTACTAGCGTATTCAAATTATAGGAACACCTGTGTCAAATAACCTTGAGTAAGGGTCCTCTTTGAAAAACTAGATGACATGGTCAACAGTACATCTGAATTTGTCCTTGTTTTGGGAATACCTGGAGATTGTATTGTTGCATAAAGCATGTAATTAGAAGTATCATATGATTTAGGATTTCTTAATCTATATACTATCAATGTCTTCATATATTTAAAATGTAATGTTTAGGTTTAATATCTTAAAAAACAGGTAGCAATAATTGGGCTTTTGTTATTTTGGAGGCTCAGGATAATGGAGTGAGGTGTTGTGGCATTTCTCTCCACTTTCTTACCCATCAATTACCACAGCAACTTTAGAGTTTTGCTGTAGCTTTCAGTCTAGAAAAATAATAGCAGGTAAAGCAGTTTTAAGAAACTGCTATTTATTACCATGTCATAGCAATGATATTTTGCAAGTCATCTTTCTCTCTGGCATCAGAAGCTTATTTTTGTTGAGTGTGCTTGTTAAATGTCAGCAAAATATACTCTTTTAAAGGACTTTCAAAAAAATTTGTCTGTGAAATTTAGAAAATAAGATGCCAGTGTAAATAGGCTATTCCATATTGCCAGTGATAACTTGTGAGCAAAAAATGCTCTTAAAGACTTAGTAAAGGTACATATGGCCAGGCAAAGAGTTTGGCTGGTCAACAAGTGAAAATAGTGTATAAAATATACACAAGCAGAATCATTATGTATTCTATCTATAAGCATTTATGGAAAGACCTGGATAAGAAATATACAAGGTAAAATAATATGGAGGATTTGCTGTATGAAACTAGCATATAGCTCTTTAAAAACTATAAAGAACTTTACGTATACCTCATGTGAGCCTCTCAGCAACTCTATGTGAGAGGCAATTTGTTCAAGTCCAGCTTTTGACACGTACCGGCTATATGACGATGGATAAGTCTTTTATTGCCACAACTGATGCTTTAAGATCTAGTTATAGTTCATCATAAGATCATAGATTTAAATGCAGAAAGGACATAGAGGCCATTGAGTTCCAACACCTCATTTTACAGCTGAGGAACTAATGCTGAGAGAGGAGAAATGACTTCCCAGTGTCACATGCCCGGTATGTGATAGAGGTGGGCCTAAAAACTAAGTCTTTCTGAGGAGTTGGTGTCATCTGGTATTCAGATCACTAGACATAGGGTCAGGAAGATCTGAGTTCAAATCTTACCTCAGGAACTTGCTGTGTGAACCTGGGCAAGACACTTCATCTCTCTCAGCCTCAACTTCCTCATCTGTAAATTGGGGATAATAATAACATCTACCTCCTAGGATTGTTGTGAGTATAAAACGAGAAAATATTTATAAAGCACTTTGAAAACATAAAGAGCCATATAAATATTATCCAAACCCAAGTCTTTGTAACTCTGGCTATAATATATTATTCATTATATGAACTGTCATTTGGATTAGATAAGAGATCCACTAAAATAGTAGTTCTCAAACTTTTTATTTCAAAACCTCCTTATACTCCCAAAAATTAGTAAGGACTCCAAAGAGCTTTTGTTTATATGAGTTATGTCTATATAGATATTTACCAAATTAGTAATGAAAACACATTAATATCACTATGAAAATCATTTTGACCTCTCAACCACCCTGAAAGGGACTTCAGAACTCCCAGGGATCCCTGGGCCACTTTAGGAACTGCTGCATTAATGTTTCAAAGCACAATTTTATTTTACTTCAATTTAGAGAGTGAATGATTTATATATATATATATATATATGTATATATATACATATATATATATACATATATATGTATACAAGAATAAGCTCAGTTCAGTGTATGAAACTATGAAATTAAAATAGAAAAATTCTCATGTTGTAACATTAAAAATCTGAGATTACCAAATAAACTCCTCAAAACAAGCAAGTCAGTCAAATAGCTTTGACTTTGTTTCAGTTGTATTTTTGGTGAAATATTGCTCTAGTTTTCATTTAATTTGACTCCATTTACTAATTAATGGTCACGTCAGCATTTAATTAGAAATAAAGGCAAAAAAAGGGTGGGATAACATATATTTCCTTTCTATTTTTTAATTAAAATTCATACTTATGTCTTTTTTGTCCTTATATCAATTTCACATATATATGTATATGGCACATACATACACATACATACACATAGAATATCTCCAAGCTCCCTCTCAGAGAGACATCTCTTATAAAACAGAATAAAAATGATTGGAAAGAAATAGCTCAGCACAACTAAACAACACATTGACCAAACAGGTCATCAAATGCCATTTTCCACATCTATAATCTCTTACCTCTGAAAAGAAGGGGTTATCTTTGGAACCAAGGTTGGTTATTATACATTTACAATATTTAGTTTATTTTTTCTTTTATTTTAAAATTTTCTTTCTTCCCATCTGCATTACAACCATTCATTTTCAAACTATACTTACTTAAGCTCCTGAGAATTGGCAGCCATAAGAGATTTTAGTGTCTTATCAGCCAAAGGGCATCCAGATACGCTAAAAAAGAAACACATTTTGTGAATTCACTAAATCTGAAAATGGTAAAAATTTACTTAAATGTTGTACTTTTTAGTTATGAGCTGTATAATATACGTTTTTCTCTTACAGAGGCAATGGAAAGTAACTTGGCTGAGATTTAGGAGATCTGGTTTCTTGTCTGAGCTTTGCTATTAACTAGCTATGTGATCTAGGGCAAATCAGTTAATCTCTTTGGACTTCAGATCTCCCTGCTATTAAATGAGAAGGTTGAATTAAATAATCCCCTCTAGGCTCTAAAAGCCTGTCAGTGTGTTCTTCTCTGTCCATCGTGATGTTTCTCTATCTGGAGGTTTTAATATTTTCCATCTGTCTATCCAAAGATCTATATCTGTATTGAACTGCAATGGAAAGACAAAATACAGGTTATAAAGATTAGCTGTGGTTTTTTGGCCTTGACAGGTTATTTAGTGGATAATGTAGCCTATGTGGTAAATTATTTGCTGAGATGTAAATTCCCTTGTTTTCTATGGTCCTATTTTAATCTTTTAAAATTAACACAGAAGAGTAAGATATAAGGAGATCAAATACTCAATTAGGTTATAACCTGCCTCATAAAGACAGAAAATATTTTAAACAAAGTTCGGTGGTTTATAAACCACATAACTACAAAATACTTAGGGTTAATAAACAAACACAGCCAAGGAAGTTCACCGGCCCCTGCTTCTGTCCCCAGTAGTACCTTTCTAATATGAATGAGAATACATATAGTGAGGAGAGCAGAAGATGAGAGGCAAGTGAATACTACCAATTATACTGTTATTTCCTGTTAGTAAGTACCTGCGGTGTGATGCATAATTTCCTGTTACGTGACCACTTCCATCACATCCAGGAGTTGGACATCTGGGTGAGAAAAGATAATTAGATAATACATTTCAAAGGTTTGTAGATGTCATTTGCCTTCTTTGCTGAACAACCAAAGATCTTTCCTTCAAGTGTGGGTGAGCTCAGCTCATCATGGTTCATTTCTCTAATACTTAGTGACTAAAGAAGACCAAAGCGCTGTGTGCCAGTAAGATCAACTAGACTGTTCCAGAGAAGACTAGTGGTCATAAAACAATCAATGATAAACCCAGTAATTTCTTTTAAGTTTGAAATCATTCAAATAATTTAGTTTAGTTAAAATCATGACCTATGTTCTGGGCTTCTTGTCAAGGTAAAGTAATTTTTTTTTAAAAAAAGTATGCTTTTTGAAAGTATAAAGTACTATAAAAGCTACATAATAACAATCATAACACTATACATTTTAATGGAGCAGCTAGGTGGAGCAGTGGATAGAATGAGAGGCCTAAAGTCAGGAAGATGAGTCCTCCTGAGTTCAAATCTGGCCTCAGACACTTACTAGCTGTGTGACTCTGGGAAATTCACTTAACCCTGTTTGCCTCAGTTTCCTTAACTGTAAAATAAGCTGGAGAAGGAAATAGCAAACACTCTAGTATCTTTGCCAAGAAAACTTTAAATGGGTTCACAGAGTGGGACATAACTGAAAGGAGTCAGCAGCAACATACACATTAATGGTTGGTTTCCCTGATAATTCTCAAACAGACACCAAAGCCATCGCTGATATATTTCCTAGTACATATTTCAAGAGAAAAGCAGGGAGTGACTACTTTACACAATTATTTTAGAAACAGTCCTTCCCCCCACTGTGAATAAAAACACTGTGTCCCAAAAGTCTTAATGCAAAACTGTGCTTAGTATGATTAGTGTTGTTTTGGGGCACTGCATTTGGAAAGTGGTAGTATACATGATGGAAATCGAAAAGGAGATTTTCAAAGTTGGGAAGCTATAGGCTGTTTAGAAATAACATAGCAGTTTATTGAGGGGTGAACAATGGGTTTCATGTATTCTCCCTCCTTATATAAATCTCCATTTGAATCAGTTCAAACTTGAACAAAACAGAAATAGCTCCAGACAAATGATTATTCTATACAAATAGGCTTTGCAGGCTGCAGCAGGACAAACATTGACTAAAATCCATCTCCTTTTATTTCTTTCTATTCTAATAAAAACTTAGGAAAGTGAATTTTTAATTTTTTAAAAACAAAATAGGAGTCAGCATCATAACAATTCCACCACTCATTACATTATTTTTGATACTGTATAAAAGTGCCACATTTAGGGTAAACAGAATCCTGTCCAACATACCCAGCACTAATAATTAGAGGAGAACAAAAATCAGTGACATTACTTGTGTATCTCACTTCCTTTTGACATGCTGTTTGAAATGAAAACTTCTATATATGTTTATAGCGTATGAATGTCACCTATCCTATTCAAGAAAATTTCTCAGATACCAGGATAGATGGGATGTCCTATAATCTCATTATACAAATTCATATTACAATTTTTGTAATAAATCAGCACCTTCCAAGTAAAATTATTTCCTCACATTTTCCCCTTATTTTCAAGTAATCGAAGAAAACAGCAGAAACTGGTAGGAATGGTAGGGGAAAAAACCACTGTTTAGCAATGGAGATTTACCCAGTCTTCCCTTGAATGTTTTGCTGATAGAGTGATCTGATTGTGAGCTGACTTTTCTTCTCAGGAGGTCTCATTTTAAACACGTTACCACCTAGCATGCTGGGAAATCATTTTGTACAACTTTCCAAAGTTCTGTACGACCCAAATGAGGTGAAAGATAAAGGAATAAGCACTTATTAGGCACCTACCATGTGCCAGATACTGTGCTAAACACTTTATAAATATTAGCTCATTTAACCCTCACAGCAATCCTGTGAGGTAGGTGCCTTTATAATCCTCATTTTACAGCTGAGAAAACTGAGGCAAACGGGCTAACTGCTTGTCCAGAATCATGCAGACATTAAGTCTCTGAGGCTGGATTTGAACATCCCGACTCCAAGCCCATCACTCTATCCATTGTGCCATCTAGCCCTCTGGGCCACCTACTTAGCTCTCCCAAAGAACCTCCATCCATCCATTCATTCAACAAAAATTTATCAAGTGCGTATCATGGGCCATTATGAATAGTGTGGGTGAGATACAAAATATAGGTACAACAAGATTCCTGTCCTCATAGGGCTTATAGTGTAAAAGGTTGAAAGCAAAAATATGTATTAATTGTTTTGAAATGAAAGATTGTGAGTTATATTTAAACCATCTAGAGGCAGTATTGTATAATAGTGCTCTTTGAGTCTGAAAACTAGATTCTAGCTCTAGTCCCATCAATAGTGATATGTGACCTGAGGCAACTCCCTTTCCTATTCTGGGTTTCAGTTTCTTAACAATACAACAAATGGTTATTGAGTACTTTTTACTTATAAGTCACTGTGTTATGTATCAATACTAAAAAGATAAAACAACAGCATCTTATCTTTCAAAAAGCCAAATGTTTGCTGTTGGAGATGTGAGGGCAGGCATAATGCAAATATATAAATCAATATAATACCAGGTAGAATGTGAGTAATGGAGAGATTCAGAGATGTGTAGAGGAAGGTGGAATAACTTTCACATAGGTGGGCCAGAGGAGACAAAGATTTTAACAGGAAGAGATAGATAATGTGCTCCAGCTGTGGGGGATAACCTGAGAGAATTCACTGAAGTGGGAGAGGGCAGCATGATACTGGGGAACAGCCAAAACAGCTTTGAAGAGAGAAGAGAATGAAATAAGGCTGGAAAGTTAGGGGGAAGTTTTATAATGAAATAGAAAGAAAATACATGTGCTTGCTATTTAAATCATAAATCTGTAAATTTATGTGCAAACCACAGTAATGAACTACAGAGAAGACCAGTTAAACATTTTCAAACCTATTGTGCAAAGAAGTACAAAGAAGAAAGAGAAAGCAAGCAAGAAAGCAAGCAAGCAAGAAAGAAAGAAAGAATGTAAGGAGACAATAGTAGAGAAAAAATAGAATTGAGTTATGAGTTAGAAAACTCAAATTCAAGTCCTGTGTCTAACACTAACTAGCTTTGAAGACCTAGCTAATTCACTTGTGTAAGACCCTCTATATGTGTCAGTTTTCTCATTTCTAACAATAATAACAATAATAATGGCTGACATTTTATAATACTTCAATAAATTGGATTAAACTGGGTGATTTCTCGATCCTCTTCTAGCTCTCTTATTTTTATATTATCCAGTTGGGAAAAAAAGGAAGAAAAAAGGGAAATGGGAAGGATAGGGGCAACTAGGTGGTGTAGTGGATAGAGCACTGGCCCTGGAGTCAGAAGGATCTGAGTTCAAATGCGACCTCAGACACATAACACTTACTAGCTGTGTGACCCTAGGCAAGTCACTTAACCCCATTGCCTAGCCAAAAGAAAAAAAAATGGGAAGGATAATGATACTAAGGTTATAACTTAGAGTTGAAAATGTTGTGTAATATGGCAGGAGTCATTATGAAAATATCAGGATTAGAGAAAGAAAAGCAAATTAGCTTCCTCAATGAGTCTCACTCAGCCTGTGAAATAAATTCAAGGACAACAGATGACATCATAGAATTCAATTGTGGTTGAATCAAGCAAGAATAGGCTGGTAGCAAGTCTTTTTATACTTTAAGAACCTAAAAGTTAAATAAGCAGCAGGGGTGGAAGAGAGAATGGAGTAATATATTTGAAGTATGACTACAAAATAACAAGATAGTATTTTTTAAAAAAGGAATGAATATTCTAGAACTCATCTAAATGAACATTGTCTGTTCAAGTTATTCCCTGGGGAAGCCATGTACCTATTCCAAGGATACTGCCAAGGTGCTGTTATTTGGAATTGTCTTTAGAACTAATTCACAAGCCACACAGCAAAACCAGTTTCATTACTAGTCATAACCTGTGTTTCACTCAAACTGATATTGCTTAGTTTGATTACTAACTCTACTAAAGATTGACCTCTAAATAACTTGATTATTAGCTAAAGCCAAATCTATGCTCAAAGGATAAAGAGATATCACTGAGGATATTAAGATGAAAGAACTATAGGCTCAAATAGCAATTCCAAAAACTTTATTTTAGCAATAGTAGGATTATTGCAATAATGTGTGTAGCCTTAAAAAGTGATTATTTTGATGAGGATGCCCTTTAAAATATTGATATTAAAACATAATTAAATTTGATTATAAGACACTCATGGGGATATATAAGTTCTGGTATATTTGTTAAAAATGAGACTTTTAAAAAGTTAAAATATGTACATGACTTTCCCAGGGGACAACTTGAAAAGGCAATTTTCATTCAGATGAGTCCTAAAATATTCATTACTTTTAAAAATAATACTGTCTTATTTTACTGTCGTACTTCAAATATGTTACTTTTTCCCTCTGCTATCTAAATCACGGGTTCTTAAAATATGAAAATGCTTACTACCAGTCTATACCTGATTGGCTCAGCTACAAGTGAATGTCTCACACACAGGACAATAGTACTCCCAAATTAATATTGTTCAGTATTTATGAGAGAGTATAATACGGAAGAATAGTAAAATTAATCTGGGTGAAATACCTTCAACCATTTCTGTGCACAAGCAATTGTTGGCTATGTGCCACATTTTGCCTGCCATGCATTTCTCTATGGGTGTTTGCATTAGTCCCAATTTTGATTCTTTAGCAGTGTTGTGTTTCATGTTTTCCAGTAATGAAGCATCACTGGGAAAATTTGTTGTTTTTCAGTTGCAGTCCTGTCTAACTCTTTGTGACACCATTTGGGGTTCTGCTGGCAAAGATACTAGAGTGGTTTGCCATTTCCTTCTCCGTCTCATTTTATAGATGAGGAAACTGAGGCAAACAGGGTTAAGTGACTTGTCCAGGGTCACACAGCTAGGAAGTGTCTGAGGCCAGATTTGAATGCATGAAGATGAGTCTTCCTAACTCCAGGCCCTCTGCTCTGTCCAC